GATTGGAGTGTTCAGGTTTGGGTTCATGGTTTGTATAGGGTGTAGGGGGTTTGGGTTTTGAGCTTTTTATGAGGTTCATTGGGCTTAGGTGTTATCGTCTCCTGGGATGGCCCAAGCAACCAATCCTCGGAATTGTTCGCCTCTCTTTGGGTTAACTGTCTAGGGCAACCAGCTAGGGCTTCTAACTCCAACTAGGGCAGCCCTCTACTCGAAAAGACTACGCAGTTGTTTGGTTTCTGTTTGTGCCTGTCAGGTACCACGTCACTCTAGGCACGCTGTGGCAAGGGTTGAGGGTCAAGGGCTCCCTAAACTCCAAACAGTTCTCTAAATTAGGGTCTCCTTTTTTGGTACCCTAACTAAGAGGGGCCGCCTTGAGGACCCCAAAAAAGTGACCACATCCTAGAGCATTGACCATGTAGCATTCCAACATCCTAACCGTCCTAACCCCTCAGACCTCTAGCCCACATTATAATGACTCAAATCCTTCGCCCTCGCTCTTCTAAGGTTGGAACCATGGCCCTTCCCCTGGTTTGTAGGGATCCGAAAATGGGCCTTTTATCATATACAGTTTATATAAAGGTTATAGGACAAGGGACCCAGATTCAGCGTCCATACTTGGAACCCTAGATTTCTGGAGCCCCGCTTTATCTGCGCCAGGCTGCCCGGCATCAGTGCCTGCAACTGGAAGAGCAGCTGTGGCTTGCTTTCGAGAAGAAGGGGAATCTCAGGACTCGCCCTAAACCCTAAACCCTAAACCCTAAACCCGAAGCCCCAAACCCCAAACCCCAAACCCCAACCTACGATTCTGCTCAGCGTCTAGAGTCCTGACTTCGGAGTGAGAAGCTGCCATACTTTATATCGACGGCGTTGCACAACGTAACTTTCTCCTATATCCCCCTTGGGAATTATTTAGTATTTTTGTTTATATAAAACCCAGGAGGATATCAAACATATTTTTTTTTAAGGTTCTAAGGGGAGTATAGTCTCAGGGTTTGTTGCACACACCCCAGGAGATGACTTCGGCACTATCGTTTTTTTTGGGATCTATGAGAATGAGGGGCCCATAGACCCCCCAAGTAGTAGAATATCCCCTATAATACGGACAGACCCATATGTAGACGCTGCCCGGTATCTGCAGAAGCACCCAGAGTTGGCGCCAAAGCGCGTGAGAACCAAAACTCGCAGGGTTTAGGGTTTAGGGTTTAGGGTTTAGGGTTGAGGGGGTTTCGCAGCAACTTGAACCCTAAGCCCTAGTCGGGGGGTTTACGATATTAGGGGTTACCTTGTTGGGGTCCTTATCTTAAGGGGATCCTACTCTTTGGGGGTCTGTATTCGGGGTCCCTTATTGTCGGAGACCCCCAGTTCTCCTCCAAGCGGGCATTAAGATCTGTACTTGGAGGTTCCTGGTACTTCTGAACCAATTATAGCTGTACTTATATAACCCACGTATAAGCCCCGGAAGTGCCCTAAAATGGCTATAAGCACAGTTCTGCGTACAGTTATCATTGGTTAATATGTAGCCCTAAACCCTAAACGCTAAACCCCGAGGTACTTTTATAATTGGTGAATGAGTACCATGAACCTCCAAGTAGGGTTGAGGTGTACTTGCCTTTCACTCCAGGGGGTCAAGGAGTCCTACCCTAAACCCTAAACCCTAAACCCTAAACCTTAAACCCTAAACCCTAAACCCTAAACCTTAAACCCTAAACCCTAAACCCTAAACCACTGATTATCCGAGGCGCGAAGCACAGCGGCCTCGCCTGCATGCTTGCTTTGGGGGGTTAAGGGTTTGGGGTTTAATGTTTAGGGTTTGGGGTTTAGGGTTTGGGGTTTGGGATTTGGGATTTAGGTTTTGGGGGTTGGGTTTTGGAGTTTGAGGCTGGGTTTGGGATTTGGCGTTTGGGAATCGGCTGGCAAAATCGGATTTGGTTCCTGTACTCTACAGCAACACCAAGAAAGCACGTACTTTCCCAAAGCTTGCTGAACAAGCTAGTTCAGAAAGTCAAGAATCAGGTGCTAGGAGTTGCGGGGGGGGGGGGGGGGGGGGGAGGGGGGGGGGGGGGGAGGGGGGGGGGGGGGGGGGGGAGGGGGGGGGGTTGAGGCTTAGGTTTTCAGGGTTTGGGGCTTTAGAGCCCTAGCCCCTCAAACGAAACCCTGATCCCTAAACCCTTTCCCATTTTATCCATGCTACACGTGCTACCTCGGCAGTTTCTTTTCGGACCCTGGCCCGCCCGTAAAACCCTAAACCCTAAACCCTAAACCCTAAACCCTAAACCCTAAACCCTAAACCCTAAACCCTACTATATATATATATATATATATGTATATATATATATATATATGCTACGCATGCTACTCCCCGGATTCTAGACGCTACACGCGCTACCTGGCAGCCCATTCTGGGTGCTACATGTGCTAAGGTGTCAGGGTGGCCAGAGCTGTCGTTCAAGGAGTTTAGGGCTTAGGGTTTAGGGTTTACAAATTCCACGACAAAGTGGAGAAAGACTTCCGCATGAGTGTCAACGGCGCCCGAGCCTTGTGCAAAGCTCGCTTGCAGGGCAAGTCCACGGCAGACATGTTGCCTCCTGCGTACGTCCGCACCAAGACCGAGCAAGCCTTCAGCCCTAAACCCTAAACCCTAAACCCTAAACCCTAAACCCTAAACCCTAATCCCTAAACCAACTGAGAACTTCAGAGATGCAGAAGCTCACAGGCTTCTCACCCGGGCAGCTGCAGCTTGAGGATTCTAGGATTCTAGGGAAACCCCTGCACGCAAACCCCTGCACGCAAAACCCTAAACCCTAAACCCTAAACCCTAAACCCTAAACCCTAAAACCCTAAACCCTAAACCCTAAACCCTAAACCCTAAACCCTAAACCCTAAACCATAAACCCTAAACCCCACCCTGGGCCCTCCTAAACCCTAAACCCTAAACCCTAAACCCTAAACCCTAAACCCTAAACCCTAAACCCTAAACCCTAAACCCTAAACCCTAAACTGTAGCGTTTAGGGTCGCCCTTTGTGCCCTACACCATCGGCTGTCCGCTTTTGGTCCCACAGACTTGTGGCCTTGGGGGGTTGGGGGCTTAGAACTTGGGGCGCGAAAATAGGGGGTTGGGGGGCCTAAATCCTAAACCCCACACTAACCCTAAACCCTAAACCCCCAAACCCCAAACCCTCAACCCCAAACCTTAAGCATCCAGAGTGGCCCCTGCAGAATCGCCACCGAAGCCACCGATGCCTTCTCGCAGCTGCGTGAGGCAGGTGGCCCCCAGTTCTAAGGCTAAGGCTGCCCAAGGCTTCAGGGGTTTAGGGTTTAGGGCTTTAGGGTTTTGGGGTTGTGGGGTGTAGGCTTGTGGGTTTCAGGGTACAGTGTTTATGGTTTTTCAGGGTTGGGGGTTTTTCAGGCTCTGAGGCCTTAGCTACAGGTTCATGGGTAGTGCAGTGGTGACAGGCGGTGCAGTGGTGCCTGCCGGCCTGTATACAGTCGCCGGTGCAACTGCAGCTGTATTGAGGTCAGCTTGGCGCGTAAAATTTCTGCCCAATACGGCTTTGCACTCAGTACATGCATGGTGCAGGGCTGTTTGCCTGACCGCAACGAACGAAATCACAACGAGGTACGCAAGGACCTTGGGTGGTTGAAATCTTGGATGCCGAAACAAAGTACCGCCAGCAGTGTTCTGTTGCCCAAGGTCCCAACATCAGCATGCTGGCATTGAGTGATGTGTCGGTGGATCTCCAACCAGCCAGGTACTACAATGCGTGCGTACCAAAAGCTTGGTCAAGACTGGCCAGCTTGCTACCCGCACAGCCCATCTGAGCGTTTTGGAGCTTTTATGTGACGAAGGACCAGTTCAAGCGTGGCTTGGGGGGAGTTCTTGGTCACTGAAAGGAGTCATTTACTGCATGCGACCAGTTGCAGTCAATGGCGGACGTTCCAAGATGCGTGGCTTTTGCTCTCTCCAATCTCGTGCTCAAGTAGGGTTAGGGTTTTTGGGTTTTGGGTTTTGGGTTCAGGGTTTGGGTGTATAGGGTTTAGGTGCCAACATTTTCTGGCTAAAATTCAGTGTTTGTGGTTGTTGGGAGTTGGAGTTCAGTCTTTAATTGGGGCTTTGGGGGTTTGAGGCTTTAGGTTCTTCAGGGTTGCTAGTGCCAAAAAACACAAGAAACTCAGTAATGTAGGGGTCGGAATCGTGGCTCATATTCTTCCCTTATGGCCCCTATATACTTCTACTATCATAACCCCCCCTAAAGCTGGAGAGAGGCCCGCGAGCAGTTGGAGCAACGTTTTGCCCAGGAGGCTCGTTGCGGTTGAGGCTTAGGGGGTCTCGAATCTATGTGGGGTGGCTTAGGTGTCTCTAATGTAGGGGCGGGCTTAGGTTCAAAGGGTTTAGAGTTTAAGGCTTTTCTGGTGTTTTTTTCGGGGGCCCTTTCATGTGACGCTGCCTTGGACCCCTTGAAGGGTGTAACCCGGGGTTTTGCGACCGTTTTCGAAGATCCTCTAAGGGAAAATTTTTGGGGCCACATTAAGAGTATATTCAGAGGAGCGAGTTGCCATTCCAGCACCCCCTTCTGTTGGTTCAGTTGCTAGGACCCAGAGTAGGCCCTTGGTTCCCTTTTGTTTTAAGGGCTTAGGTTCCCTTGGACCAAGAGTGGGCACCTCGTAATTCCTAGGCTACTCATGGGTTTAGGGTTTAGGGTTTAGGGTTTAGGGTTTAGGGTTTAGGGTTTAGGGTTTAGGGTTTAGGGTTTAGGGTTTAGGGTTTAGGGTTTGGGGCGTTGCTGGTAAGAGCTCTGTTCCTCAGCGACGCAAGCGAAATTCTCGGATTGAGATGTCCGGGGTGGTTTGCCCAGCTCAACACCCAAGCCTGATAAGGCCTAAACCTTGAGGATGTTCCCCCTTGTGCTATCAGTCCTTAATGTTGGGTTTAGGGTTTAGGGTTTAGGGTTTAGGGTTTAGGGTTTAGGGTTTAGGGTTTAGGGTTTGAAGGACTTCTAGAATGGAGGCCCTGAAGCAACTTGCCACAGCGAGCAGCCTGGCTGCTAAGACTCTAAGACTGATGCCAGCCCTTCGGCAGGCGCTCGCCCGGCAGGATTGCGCAAAGGTCCAGCAAGAGCTCACCAGCAAAGAAGACTTTGTGCAGAAGCATGCTGTGTCCATCTGGGCTCAGATGAAGAAGCTCCCTCTGTCGGGAGAGGACAGCTTGGAAATCATCAAGGCAGTGCAGGCTTCCAGTCTGGGGGTCAAGCAGAAAGATGAGATTCTGGGTGCTGTCAGCGAGAGGCTGTCTGATAGCAGCACGCCGAAGCCGAAAAGATCCCAACAGACCATGAAGGATGTGTGCAGTTTCTTGACAGCCAGCGAGGTCACTGTCCTAAAGAATGGGGACTACAACCTGTCGGCTCGGGTTCAGGCTCTGGCCCACACACCCCCCCTCCCCCCTACCCTGTCTGATCGAACCGCCTACTCAAAACCTTTTTGAGCCGAGCTACGCGTTGGGATAGTTGTTAAGGCTGCTGGAAGAGCCCTAAACCCTAAGCCCTAAACCCTAAACTGCAGAGACGAAGCCCAACCCCCCTTCTAAACCCTAAGCCCGAAAACCTTAGAGCAGTTGCGAAGAGTAGTTACATGGCCCCTTTGTGGCTTTTAGTCCCTCAATGTGGGTTTATCTTCTCTCAAGGGTTTTGAGGTAGGGGCCCTTGGGCTGTATAGGGTATCTAAGGGGTAGACAAGGGGACCATGTAGCTTCCCTTTGAGAGTGCGGCATGCTGAAGGCAGAAGACCACCGACTGCTTTTACAGGCCAGACTTGAGCTGGCATACTTTTCGACCTCTGGATGGTTCCCCTCGGCCCCCTTAACTTCCTACCCGTCTAGGGTGCGGAGTGTAGGGTTTAGTGTTTTAAGTAGGGTACCTGCGTAATCCCGTAAGGGTTATCGGGGGGGGGGGGGGGGGTATGAGATAAATAGTTTTTTGGTTCCATATCAAGAACATGGAGGTGCATCGGATGTATGGTTGTGTTTGTATGCTCCTTCCTTACGAGTGTGACCTCTTGATGCTTGTCAAGATCCGGAGAGCACACGCACATGTTGTATTCCATAACTCCTGGTTCAGGGTCTAGATTCCGCTACAGAGGTCGTCATTCTTTGCAATGATTCGCCATCGGCCAAGCTGACTTCGTAATCCTGGATAATATCTAGCCAGTGCCGGAGTCACAACCAGGTTTAGAGTTTAGGGTTTAGGGTTTAGGGTTTAGGGTGTGCTTGGATTTTATTTAGGGAAAGGGGTGCCCACAGTACCTTGGGAAAATACCCATGTGGCAAAGTTCAATGATCTCTTCGAACCCAGCTTTGCCAGCAAACTCGACGGTCAGTGTCGCTTGGCTCATAGCCAAGGCTCCTATGTAGTACCTCTTCAGGGTAGTATACCCTCATCCCCCTAGCACTAACCCAAAAAGGAACTACATAGGAGCCTGTAGTACCTCTTTCGGGTCGGTAGTTTACTCTCATCCCCCCAAAAGCTAACCCTAAACCCTAAACCTTAAACCCTAAACCCTAACCCAAAAAGGAACTACGTAGGAGCCCACAGGGAGCCATGTCTAGCGCACCCCATGGCCCCGACCATTTCCTCACGGTTGCCCATGCCCTGCATCGGCTGCGCGCCGCAGAGAGGGAGGGCGATTCTGCTGAGGGCCTGTCGGCCATGAAGACCCTTCTTCCAGTAGGTGGGGGTTCGGGTTTAGGGTTTAGGGTTTAGGGTTTAGGGTTTAGGGTTTAGGGTTTAGGGTTTAGGGTTTAGGGTTTAGGGTTTAGGGTTAGGGGGTTGACGATCATAAGGGGACTCCCAACATAGACCCCCAAATCGTGGGATCCCCTTATCTTAAGGACCCCAATAAGGTTCGGTCATGAAGACCCTACTTCCGATAGGTGGGGCTTTTCCCCAAAATCGGGGAACCCCTTTTATATCCCCAATAGAATCTCCCTACCCAGCCCCATAAAAGGGTCCCCCCCCCCCCCCCCCCCCCCCCATGTTCGCTAAACCCTAAACCCTAAACCCTAAACCCTGAACCCTGAACCCTAAACCCTAAACCCTAAACCCTAAACCCTAAACCCTGAACCCTAAACCCTAAACCCTAAACCCTAAACCCTAAACCCTATACCAGGTAGCAGCGCCTTGAATCGTTTCTTGGTGATGATGGCTGCGGCTGGGCATGAGCAGAGGCCGCCACGCAGGGTGCGGCTCAGCATCCCGAGTCCGGCCAGGACCTGGGTTTAGGGTTTAGGGTTTAGGGTTTCGGGTTTAGGGTTTAGGGTTTAGGGTTCAGGGTAGTCCTGCCAGGGACAATCGGGACCAACGCCCGCGGGCGCCTGGCGTCCTGCCACGCCTCCTGGCCACACCGGATCCTCGGACCCTCCAGTGGTACCCTGTGTTCCCGATGTTCTGAGGGCTTAGGGTTTTTCTTGTAATTCAAAGTGAGGCCTGATGAGCGGAAAAGGGTTTGGGGTTTAGGGTTTAGGGTTTAGGGTTTAGGGTTTAGGTTTTAGGGTCCCTCTTCTTAGGATCTGCTGGCAAGTGTGCTGGCGGGCCTCACCAATCAAGAGGTCTTTGGTGTCTCTGGGCTCAGCAAGGACTGCCACACTGCAGCCAACCAGTCGCTCGGACCTTGAGAATTCTTTTGCATTTGCCGTTTTGTGGATGTAGGAGGATCTTGCTTAGGATTATTCTTCTGTGGGTTGCGATTAAGAGGATCTCAATTAGGAGTTGGGATGTTCCCCCTTATACTAACAGTCCTGAATAGGGATTCTAGTACCCTTTGTTATAATCCCTATGAAGGAATGTTAGTCTAAGGGGCAACATCCCAGCTTAGGAGTATTTGGGGGTTTCCGACAATAGGGCGTACCTCTTTGGGGTCCTGATGAGAAGGGAATCCTACTATTTGGCCCTAAACCCAAAACCCCGAAACCTTAAAATCCTAAAGCCCTTCACCCTAAACCCTAAACCCTAAGCCCTAAACCCTAAACCCTAAAGCCCTAAAACCCCCATTTTGCAGAGGCAAGGGCAACTTAGGTCCGGCTCCTGGTGCGGCCGACAGCTGGTGCTGAACCTTAAAAGAAGCACCTCCATCACGGAAACTGGATAGGACCTTGGGAGATTTTTACCTTGGACCCTGAACCCTGACACCCGACACCCGACACCCTAAACCCTAAACCCTAAACCCTAAACCGGAAGCCCTTCTTGGAGTCAAGAAGCTTCTATGCTTTGTAGTATTGAACGCCGAGGGGTTTTGTGGACCAAGCAAGGAAAGCTTGTCTAAACCCGAAACCCTAAACCCCAAACCCCAAACCCCAAACCCTAAACCCTAAACCCTAAACCCTAAACCCTAAACCCTAAACCCTAAACCCTAAACCCTAAACCCTAAACCCTAAACCCTAAACCCTAAACCCTAAACCCTAAACCAACCAAGGAAAGCTTGTCTTTAGAGACGGCGATTTCCAACATCAGCAAGAGGAAGGATGCCTCGCTTTGGAGGCATGCCACTCCGCTCGCGTAGTTTCTGTCTTTCTGGGGGTTTAGGGTTTAGGGTTTAGGGTTTAGGGTTTAGGGTTTAGGGTTTAGGGTTTAGGGTTTAGGGCTACTTACTCCTTTTTTTTGTTAGGGTTCAAGTTCCTCCATTATCAAAAAGGGCACCCTTTGTTGTTCCTGGGTTTCTCTTGGGTCTAGGTAGCGTTGTTTCTGTCCTTTGAGCTCCTTTGTCTACTTCCCCCCCCTAAGGGTATCTCTAAGACTCTAAGTTATGATCCCTTTTTGGTTACCGTATGCAAAAGGGCTCTCTTAACAGGACCCAGCCCAACAAACAAATACAAAATTCAAAAGAAAAGAAGAAGAAGAACATAATCTAGAGGACCCGCCCCTCCCCTTCCTCCCCCCACGAACGCTTTTAACATCCCTAAACCCTAAACCCTAAACCCTAAACCCTAAACCCTAAACCCTAAACCCTAAACCCTAAACCCTAAACCCTAAACCCTAAACTGCGGGTACGCCAAAGCCCAGGTGAGGGGCCTGGTCCTGCCATCGGGTCTGCGCGGGTTCTCGAAGTACCTGCCTCGCACATTGCAGGACAAGCTTCCGAACCTCACCTTTCTGGACATGGGGTCACTTAGGGATCTTTGGAAATACATTTTCATTTTCGTGTAACTTTAAGAAACAGCTGACAATTTTCATTCTTGCTAGAGGTCCAAGTTCAGTGTAGGTCATTTTCAGCCCAGCCCCCACTGGTGGCCGCGATACTGGAGGAGTTTAAGAACCTTGAGCGGCTGCACTGCCGGGATGCCCTGAGACTGCCCTTACCGTCGCTGAATAGCTTCGCCACCTTGAGAAGGCTGAAGACTTTAAAGGTTGCTTTGCGTGCAATCCACATCGTTCTTGTCTTCCCTAAACCTTCATGCTAAACCCTAAACCCTAAACCCGAAACCCGAAACCCTAAACCCTAAACCCTAAACCCTAAACCCTAGACTCACCCAAGGTGAGCGACGCTCTGGAGTTCCACCGCAGTACGGAGTGGGGGAGGATCGGTGGGCTCCCTAAACCCCAAACCCCAAACCCTAAACCCTAAACCCTAAACCCTAAACCCTAAACCCCAAACCCTAAACCCTAAACCCTAAACCCTAAACCCTAGCGTGGGGGAGGATCGCTGGGCTGCTTCCCTGCATCGAAGTCCTGCATCTGCCCCTGGGGTTCTGGACGACCTCCACGTTGGGCATCCACACCTGCGATCGGGACATGCAAGGCTTGGCTTAGGGTTTAGGGTTTAGGGTTTAGGGTTTAGGGTTTAGGGTTTAGGGTTTAGGGTTTAGGGTTTAGGGTTTAGGGTTTAGGGTTTAGGGTTTAGGGTTTCGGGTTTGGGGTTTGGGGTTTGAGGTTTAGGGTTTAGGGTTTAGGGTTTAGGGTTTAGGGTTTAGGGTTTTGGGTTTAGGGAAGACAAGAACGATGCTCGCAGGCCTGCAGGAGCTGCCTCAACTACGGGACTTGGACCTATCAGAGGTGCCTCATGAAAGGTTCTGCTATATTAAGAAAGCGTTTAGGGTATATTGTGGGGTTTAGGGTTAGGGTTCTAGGGTTTAGGGTTCTAGGGTTTAGGGTTTAGGGTTTAGGGTTTAGGAACTCCTGTTTGATCACCTCACGAGGAGATCATTTAGATACTTTGGGAACTGTGTATGATCTTGACTTATTTCTATGAAATGTCTTCCGCCTTCGTGACTTTGCTGTCAGTTTCGTCAAAGAAGATGCTTGCATAAACGTAACGAGATGGGACAAAGAACGGCGCCATCTTAATGCCCTAAACTCTCTACACCTCATGAGGGTTTGGCGTTCAGGGTTTGGGGATCTAGGCCCATTTCAGTTGGGTAGGTTCCCTACCCCTGAAACAACCCGTGGTTCCCTACTCCATTTCTGAGGTTGCCTGTAACGGATACTTAAGGGTTCA